TCAAGAAACTTTATGAAACCCTCACGAAACCTTCATGAAACTTGATGAAACATCCATTATGAAACCTTTCATGAAACCTCCTCTCTGAAACTTTTTCGAAACCTCCTTTATGAGACCTCCTTTATGAGACCTCCATATAGAAACCTCTTTCAGGGAACCAGTTCGCTGATGTCGAGAACTCCTTCCCCGCAAACGCTTCCGTGTCAAGCTTCACGTCCAAATGGTATGCCCGTATCTGGCTTCTCAGTTATGGTAACTCGCATCATAGGAACACGCGNCAAATTTCATACACCAGCGTCAAAATTCTCTATTTGAACACTCAACTAATTGACATATATAGCAGGGGTTCAGCGATCTCTGCTCACTTATGCATATTATATTAATACAGATCATTATTATTATTAATACCTATTAACAAATACTTTTCCTTGTTGTGTACAATTAATCCATATTGCGTGAGAACCAGGAAAAAGTGAATTAATCGGTTGACCTCGTGCAACAAGTGTTCATCCCACAACGTACGTAGGGTGATAATTACATGTCAGAAACAGCGCCTCTCGTAAAATAATATTGGCCAAATAGATGACCTCGGAGTCTTGTTTCTTGTGAAAATAGTATTTAGGGGAAGTTCATCGGAAAAATCAATATTTTGAAATAGGTTAAAAAGACTCTCAGAATCAGAGGAGGTCTAAGATATTTCAAAATTCTGTTGTATTGACTCGACAAGACAACCATGATGACAATGCAAGGCAAAACATAACAACACAAGTCAAGGCAAGGTAAGACAAGATTTGAGAAATCTGAGAAATTTAAAAGTTCTTACTCATAGTTTTTAATAGGAGAAGGATTTCTGGCCGTTTATCAAATACACAATGCAAGGTAAGACAAGAGAAGACAAATCAAATAAGACAAGAGAAAACAAAAGCAAGCAGTACATGACAAAGCAAGACTAGAAGCAACGTTATCGTTGTAACCAGGCAGCTACCGTAACCTCGCTAGCAATGCCAACTACAATTGCGCTTAGCAAGTGCAAGAATGGCCATTACACGTTGCAGTTCAAGGTCAATCAGGCCGTTAGTCTCAACTCTAGTCACGCGACTATGAGTGTGTGTAGAAAGAGTCATAAATATCACCGAATGGTTCTTACAAGCAATAGTTTGCTAACAAGAGGTTGTGCAAGTACATACAGAATGAGAAGATACTTTTTTTCCTTGTATTGGATCATACAAGACAGCATATAATAAAAAAAAATGTTAAAAAACTTCTTATTTTCTTTCTCCAACATGAAGGATTGGGAGCCGCTTGCACAATTATAAAGTACAAAAAAAAATTGCGAACATTTGCTTGCATAGAAGCAAACATACGACACGATCTTGAAGTTACAGTTTTCTTCCGTACAGCGGCATTGAAGAATGAAGAATAAGCGTATTTAGTTACAGCTACTACACACAAAAACGTACAATACTAACACAGAAAAATGTATTATGTCCATCACACAAAAATAAATAAATGAGTTGCGTTCATAGTGAGCATGTCAAGGAGTCATTATAGAGCTCAGCCGTAGCATGCCTCCTACAACTGAGTTATTTACTGATACGCCCGCCCACTCAAGCGTGCCGATCCTTCTCTAGATATACAGAAATTCGCGAGAAATACTCAATCTGAAGTTAATAAATATTTTAAAATAAATTTCTCCATGACGATACAGAAGTTTAACATAGTAATACCTGCTGGCCTCCAATTAAACGAATGACTTCGTTCACTCAATAAATGATTGGGTGAATAATTTTCAATAATATTCAATTCAATAATATTATCCAGTGTATTAATAACGCTATTATTTTCTGCTTAATTAAATAACTGTTTTTAAAACAGTGCAGAAAAGAAAATAAATCAAAGCAGAGAATTGCTGCATTCAGCAAACTAATAATGAGAGATCCAAGCGAGGGAAGCACGCAACACGACAGAGGGGAGAAGCCCTCACAAATCACTGGACGCATCGATGCCATAATTTCAGCCTTGGCATTGACCGCCGCTCAATATGAAGGCCGCGGCCACTGCCATGTGAGGGCCACGGCCGCTGCTATGTGAGGGCCACGGCCACTGCCATGTGAGGGCCACGGCCGCTGCCATGTGAGGGCCGCGGCCACTGCCATGTGATGGCCACGGCCGGTGCTATGTGAGGGCCACGGCCGGTGCCATGTGAGGGTTATAGCCGGTGCTATGTGAGGGCTACGGCTAGTGCCATGTGAGGGTTATAGCTGGTGCTATGTGAGGGCCACGGCCAGTGTTGTGAGAATCACGGCCGGTGCCATGTGAGGGCCACGGCCGGTGCCATGTGAGGGCCACGGCCGGTGCCATGTGAGGGCCACGGCCGGTGCCATGTGAGGGCCATGGCCGGTGCCATGTGAGGGCCAAGGCCGGTGCTATGTGAGGGCCACGGCCGGTGCCATGTGAGGGCCACGGCTGGCGCCATCTGCTATATCTCACTTTCCCTCACTTGCCATATTTTCCTACAGAACGCGCGATTGAAATGCACACTATTTACCCTGTATAATGTTTACATTTCATTTATGAATGCATCGTAGATATTTACGCCACACCAAATGCTTTGTGCCCGTTTGCATAGCAGCGTTGAGCGTTGATGTCCTTGAAACCAACAGCGACGAAACAATTTTCTCTTGAAACTTACGCTTTCTGTCATACTCAGTGATTGTGCACAAAACTTTCAATGCCGATGAGTTATTACTATGAACAAGGCGAGAACAAATTGACGGAATATATGTGAAAAGTCTGTCTTGTCTAAATTTGTTCAATTATGCACTATTACGATGTTGGTCATCAATATCATGGCATTGACTATCTAAGATGGCTTTAACATAAAAAATAGTAGCTTTGACATCATAGCAGTAGCAAATAGTAATTAACAGCTTTACTAAACAACAATACGAGCAAACATTAACTGCACTTCTGCAATTATTGCGGCAACAGCTGCTTGACCTCAGAGCTGGCAACAGCTGACAGCTCTTCTCACCTGCAACAGCTGCTTGACCTCGGAGCTGGCAACAGCTGACTGCTCTTCTCACCTGCAACAGCTGCTTGACCTCAGAGCTGGCAACAGCTGACTGCTCTTCTTTGCTCTTCTTTTTTATCGCCTGCAGGCGGTCGAGCTCCAGCTGACGATGCTTCTCCTGTCGCTCCTCCTCTGCGCGCGCCGTCTGCTGCTCCAGGTACTGATATAGAAATTTATAATAATTATATTATAAGTAAATCAATAATTAATAATTCTTCATAGATATGACTACAATGATTACCGAATTTTTCGATTATATCTACAAAATATACATAAAATGTATAATAATTATATGGTAAGTATGTCAATAATTGATAATTCTTCATCGATATGATTTCAATGATTACCGAATTTTTCGATTATTACTACAAAATCCACTGAATTTTACACGTATGCAAACGAAATTATCATCGTGCCCTCCTGATTCATAACTAAATCATGGTAAAAAACTGATGATAAAAAGCTATTTGTTAAACTGAAACTCGTATGAATGGTGACATTAATTCATCAATTACATGGTTTGCCTACAAACGTAACGCGTCGAGCTAAGAACATATTTCACTTCGTCATCCAGATCTTCAATGTCCCATTTACACACATACGCACAAAATATATTAATACAAATTAAGTTATTTCAGGTCCTAGAGGAACTGCAACAAACTATCGTGGTCTTCAAATATATCTAAGATAAGAACATCGAATCTTGAAATCTGTATCGATTGTTCGTTGCGTAAAAATGACGAAATGCGAAATCGTCAGGTTAAGACGCGACTATTCCAGTTCTGTCACTCTTATCTTTAGACTATTTTTTTGAATAATTTGATTCATTTACACGGGTTTGATACAAAATTTCGTTAATGTTTTAGTCTTTAGATATTGCCATAATGTTTCCTATATCTATATGATATTGCCATAATGTTTAGACTTTCTAGAACTTTCATTGATACTCCTCGAACGTTTCATAGATTCTTGTATATGTAGCTAATTATTAGCAGGCTATAAATATTAGCGTAATGTAAATTAATATTAATAATATTATTAATAATAAAATATTAATAATAAATATTAGCGTATATGTAGATAATTAATAGCAGCTGCTATAAATATTAGCGTGATGTGGAAAAAAATCTGGAAGACTATAAAATTAATATTGATCACATCGTGGATATGGTCAAATGTTCTTTGTTCGATTATCTAAAATCTGGATCTAGTATGGAATAAAGAATCTGATCAATAAGCTGTAATTCCACCTCGATGAATTTAAAGTGAAGGTGCAGAAGTGGATGATTTACAAGAATGGGTGAACATTACCTACTTCATGCATTATGCAACTTCATGCAACGCATTCACTCCTCAAACGGGCAAACTTGTCCCTCATCATCAAGTGTATCGTTATGTAATCATGCATGAATCATGTACTATTTAGAGTTTAAATGACTGCAAGTTCAACACAAAACTGGTCAGATTGTTCAATTTAAGCAACGTCACGAAGAACCAAATTATTCAGTAATTCGCAGGAAGAAAAGCGCAAATCGTTTCCCTCGTACAGAGGAAGAGTACCGCATTCCACATAAAAAACTATTACTACGTAAATAGGGAATGATCCAGATAATTGGTGATTGTCAGAGCTATGACCAACAGTGCAAACCAAAGAGGGTAACGGGGTCGATTGAGCCGGAAGTTTAAGCTGCCCCACGCTTGGCCGTGAGAGTCAACGGCCTGTAGATGGGCGGGTGATTAAAAAGGCAAGGTCAAAGGGTACATAACTACGGTATAATGTGTGGCGGTGCAGTGGGCGATAATATACGGTGGGTAGGTCAAAGGGCGAGTCAAGGGACAGATGTGAAGGTTAGAGGGCGAGTCACGGGACAGATGTGAAGGTTAGAGGGCGAGTCAAGGGACAGATGTGAAGGTTAGAGGGCGAGTCAAGAGACAGATGTAAAGGTTAGAGGGCGAGTCAAGGGACAGATGTAAAGGTTAGAGGGCGAGCCAAGGGACAGATGTAAAGGTTAGAGGGCGAGTCAAGGGACAGATGTGAAGGTTAGAGGGCGAGTCAAGGGACAGATGTAAAGGTTAGAGGGCGAGTCATGGGACAGATGTGAAGGTTAGAGGGCCAGTCAAGGGACAGATGTGAAGGTTAGAGGGCCAGTCAAGGGACAGATGTAAAGGTTAGAGGGCGAGTCAAGGGACATATGTAAAGGTTAGAGGGAGAACCAAGGGACAGATGTAAAGGTTAGAGGGCGAGCCAAGGGACAGATGTAAAGGTTAGAGGGCGAGTCCAGCTATACTGGTTCGATCAGTTGCACAGGCAGCAGCGGGTCCAGCAACAGGCGTTTTATTTAGCACATCCTACATACCGCTCGGAGTATCAGCCTAGAACTGGAAGCAAAATTTCAGGAACTGATAGTAGTAGCATCAGAGCAAAAATGAAATCACAAAGTAGCAATCAATAAGTGATAATACTGAAAGTTTCCATCCGCACTGGAGGTAGCAGGCATCACACACCAGGCAAATGACGTCAAAACAACGTTGAAATAACGTCCATTCAACCAAACAACGTTCAACTCAACCTCATGTGTCTGGTGGCGAGCAGTAAATGTTGAATGAAAATAGCAGCAGATGCGTAACTATTGGTCGTAAAAACATAAATAATAATAATATGATATAGTAAAAACATAAAAGGGACCATATGAGAGAAATGAGAGATATTCAGGTGTATTCTTGTTCCATCGTTCTTCGAATGAGTATCATTATAATTATATATTTATTATCATCATCTCTTGCCTGTATTTTTTCTATCGAATCAATGATGCGCGGTCACTGAAGGGGTTGAAGGAATTTTATCACATTTTCTATGTTCTTTACTCCATGAAATAAATATTTGATTGTGCAAATAAAAGATGACAGTTGTTCACGCACAAAATTTTAAGCGTTTTTTGTTTTTTGAAGTTTTCATTATAACTAACATTTTTGAGGACAATTTTCTTTCTTCTGTAGTATACCATATGTAGGAGTTACAATTGTATTTTATGGTACTCATTTGGTTTTAAGAAGAAATGACAGCTAGTATATAAAACCCACACATAAAACTGCAACTATGGTTTAAAATAAGAAATGAATAATGAGAAAATAATTCAATTAGATGAGGAAAAGTATCGAGTGTGACTTAATTTAGAGTAAGCAAACCCTAAGTATAAAGTTAGACACTGATTGAATTTCTTTTACATCTCATATCTTAGTTGCATCTATGTGATTAAGTCTTGGCATCAAAGTTTCTCACATTCAACACATAACAATGAAATAGGACACAGTATTATAACCTTGAGCGATAGAAATGGAGTTGAAGTTATATGATCGCTTTTTAATTACACCAACACATCAACAAAACAATTCAACGCGATTCAGATCACGCTGAAGTTGAAATAATAGGCATGGCAGCCGTTACCTTTTGCAACAAGTAATTTCCTTTATGAAACCTTGGTGAAATCTATCTCAGGAAACCTCATTCGGGAAACCTCCTTCAGGAAACCTTCACGAAACTTTATGAAACCTTCACTAAACTGCTTTTATGAAACCTTTATAAAACCTTCATGAAACCTCCTTTATATGAAATTTTTATGAAACCTCCTTTATATGAAATTTTTATGAAACTTCCTTTATAAACCTTCAAGAAACTTTATGAAACCCTCACGAAACCTTCATGAAACTTGATGAAACATCCATTATGAAACCTTTCATGAAACCTCCTCTCTGAAACTTTTCCGAAACCTCCTTTATGAGACCTCCCTATAGAAACCTCTTTCAAGGAACCAGTTCACTGATGTCGAGAACTCCTACCCCGCAAACGCTTCCGTGTCAAGCTTCACGTCCAAATGGTATGCCCGTATCTGGCTTCTCAGTTATGGTAACTCGCATCATAGGAACACGCGATTGCTCCCAACTAATTGATGATCCGTCGGTTGGTTGCAGTCGGTTGGTTGCAGTCGGTTGATTGCAGTCGGTTGATTGCAGTCGGTTNCAGTCGGTTGGTCTCAGTCGGTTGGTCTCAGTCGGTTGGTCTCAGTCGGTTGGTCGCAGTCGGTTGGTCGCAGTCGGTTGGTCTCAGTCGGTTGGTCTCAGTCGGTTGGACATAGTCGGTAGGTCTCAGTCGGTGGGTCATAGTCGGTTGGTCTCAGTCGGTTGGTCAGAGTCGGTTGGTCTCAGTCGGTTGGTCTCATTCGGTTGGTCTCAGTCGGTTGGTCATAGTCGGTTGGTCATAGTCGGTTGGTCATAGTCGGTTGGTCTCAGTCGGTAGGTCTCATTCGGTTGGTCATAGTCGGTTGGTCTCATTCGGTTGGTCTCAGTCGGTTGGTCTCAGTCGGTTGGTCTCAGTCGGTTGGTCATAGTCGGTTGGTCTCA